TGTTAAATTCATGTAAAATTCTGCTTGAATTTAAATCTATTTTCTCCACAGTTTCTGCTTCACTGACACAAGGACAGACCTGTGTGTGTGTGTGTGTGTGTGTGTGTGTGTGTGTGTGTGTGTGTGTGTGTGTATGCATATTTATGAGCTGACAGCTGGTGTGTAATTTATAACATTTACCTTGTTAAGATGAACATTTTGCCTGGAGGAGGAAACGCCAGTGAAGAAGAGGCTGAAAGCCGTCCTCCCTCCGTTGGCCAGCAGGGGGCAACTAGTGTATCAGGCCATAACCCGACCTTTGTCTGCTGAGTCCACAATCTCAACGTTCAGGGTGTCGGAGGTCAACAGAGGCAGCTGTTCGCCACCAGGGGGCGACTCCAACTAATCCTATAAACTGTATTTACAAACTTTGAGTCTGTGTGTGTGTGTGTGTGTGTGTGTTTTTTTTTTCTCCAGGCGGTGAATTACTGGTACTCCCTGATGAAGGTTTTTGTGGAGGAGTGTGAGGAATTCTGAGCAGCAGAGACGAATAAACAGTTTGTTTTGCCTCCTCAGGGATGTAAGAGCAGATATGGATTAGAGGGGGGAGGGGGGGGGGGGGGGGGGGCGTGAGCTACAGCAGCACATGAATTGTTGATGGGATGTTATTTTGTTGAGATGGAAAAAAAATCTGGGATTTAAGGTGTGTGTGTGTGTGTGTGTGTGTGTGTTTCTGGTAAAGCTGTACTTGTGGGGACCTTCTCCACTGAGAGAGTGTTAGTCTGGAGTTAGGATTAGACTCAGGCTGAGATTAAGATCAGGATTAGACGTGTGTGTCGGTGTCTGCGTGGAGGAGGAGGAATTACGCTTTTAAAGTCCTGGACACAGATATAATCTGGTATAATCTGGTATAATCTGGTATAATCTGGTATAATCTGGTATAATCTGGTATAATCTGATATAATCTGATATAATCTGGTATAATCTAATCATTAGTGGTTAATTCTAAATAAACAAACATTTATTTATAGTTAACTACAGACAGAATGATAAATTTGGAACGTAACTCTTCGTCAGTAACACGGTGGTAGGTCAAAGGTCAAAGGTCAGAACGACACTGGTCCTGCAGTAGGACGGCGGCGGCTCAGGACCCTGACAAGGTCGGAGCAGAAGCGACGACTACTTCCTGTTTTTCCTGCTAATTAATTCAAAAATGTGGTTAATAATGTCTGAAGAGTTCAACGAGGCCAAGAGGATCCACAGACCGACAGACCAACGGGCCGACAGACCAACAGACCGACGGACCAACGGACCGACAGACCAACAGCCAGACAGCCCGACAGACCAACAGACCAACAGACCGCCACGACGAGAGAGAGTGTGTGTGTATGTGTGTGTGTGACTGTCAAAGCTCCTTGATTAGACCTCATCCTCAACACTGAAAATAAAAAACACAGATTTATGCTGATCCTGGTTGTTTTTTCAACTGGGGCTGTGAATCATTTATAAAGAGGGGGAGGAGGAGGAGGAGGAGGGGGAGGAGGAGGAGGAGGGGGCGTGAGCACACACATACATTTCTGTGCTCTACTCAAACTGTTTTTTACAGCAGAGCAGACGCCTGATTACAGACTGCAGGTGTGTCTGTGGAACTGACTTTTTCAGCTGAGAGCAGGAAAACAGACACATTCACTGACTGTCCCTGTCTGTGTCCCTGTCTGTGTCCCTGTCTGTGTCCCTGTCCCTGTCTCTTTATAATAACATTAGCATGTTCAACAGTGAGTTCCGTTGGATTAGTCAGTGTTTTTATTCAGAATCACACTCTGGTCTGTGTGTTCACACTGGAGTCACGCCCCACAGCTTCGACCTCAGGCAGCTGGGGAGGAAAGTCTTAGTTCTCTTTAGGTTGAAGTCACTGGATTAGGAGACTAAAGTCACTGGATTAGGAGACTAAAGTCACTGGATTAGGAGACTAAAGTCACTGGATTAGGAGACTAAAGTCACTGGATTAGGAGACTAAAATCACTGGATTATAAAACTGAAATCACTGGATTAGGAGACTGAAGTCACTGGATTAGGAGACTAAAATCCCTGGCTTAGGAGACTAAAGTCACTGGATTAGGAGACTAAAGTCACTGGATTATAAGACTGAAGTCACTGGATTAGGAGATTGAAGTCACTGGATTAGGAGACTAACATCACTGGATTAGGAGCCTAAAGTCACTGGATTAGGAGATTGAAGTCACTGGATTAGGAGATTGAAGTCACTGGATTAGGAGATTGAAGTCACTGGATTAGGAGACTAAAATCACTGGATTATAAAACTGAAGTCACTGGATTAGGAGAGATTGAAGGCATAAAATACATTAAAAAATAAACCAATAAGAGGCTGAAGTTCTGAGGAGAGTCTGTTGGATTGAACAAGACGCATGAGACACACACACACACACAGGAACAAAATGTGTGTTGTTCAATAATGCTCACACACACACACACACACACACACACAGAGCTGATGATGTAGGAAGGAGCTGCAGCAGTGAAGTGATAATGAGTTTATTGAAGACAACAGTGAGGACGGACTATTGTCACCGCAGCTCCGATGGTTCAGTGATGAGAGGAGGAGCAGGAGGAGGAGCAGGAGGAGGAGGAGGAGGAGGAGGAAGTTTAAAACGGTTTGATAAAAGAGTAACAAAAACAAACTGTTGATTTATTATAATTTATTATAGTTAATATTTAAGGTTCAAACGTGGTTTGGTTTAAAGATCAACCAGAGGAATTCATCTTTAGGAAAAAATAATCAATAAAAAGGAAGAAAGAAAAAGTCCTGAAAACTGAGGACATTTCCACGTTTGCCCCAAAAATGACAAAAGTCAACGATTGAAAGAGCATTTAAACAAGAAGAATTCAAATAAAAGTCTGTTTAAAAGAGTCAAAACGACACGAAGCGACAGAAACAACAAGATGCTAAAAGTTAGCATCAAATAAACAGAAGTTAGAAACACGAGGCGACGTGTGTGTTCACACACACACACACAGACACAGGTGGAGGTGGAGGTGGAGGTGTGTTGTGACTTTACCTGGCTGCTGTAGGCGCTCTCTGCTCCTCCCGTTCCTCCCCCCGCTGCTCCTCCTGCTCCGGCACCGAGCTCCGGCAGCCTCCTCCGGCTCAGTACCAGCAGGTAAACCAGTGCTCCCAGCCAGACCAGCACCGCCACGGCCACCGCCAGCCTCCGACAGAGACGCTTCATGGTGCGGTCATGGGGAGCCGGCGGCGCCCGCAGCTCCGCCGCCGTCACAACAAGTCCATCAGCCCGCGCTGCTGTCGGTGTTGCTCCCGCCGCGGCTGTCGGTAGTGATGGTGGTGCTCCTGTACACAACAGTGGATAAAGAGGAGGAGCAGAGAGCGGCTCCTCTAACTCCTTACACCTCAGTGTGTGTGCGTGTATATATATGTGTGTGTGTTCAGGAGGACCCTCCTAAAAGTGCCACTTGCAGAACGAAGGGCGCCATCTGCCGGCACACACCGCTACAGTGAGCTCAAGTTAGAAAACAATAATAATAAAACTAAACGAAAAAGGAAAAAACGCCGGAAACACCTGCAGAAAACAGAAGAAATATTTCTGGGAAACTACAACCGAGCTGAACAGTGGCGGCTGGCCCATAGAGGGCGCTCCTCCTGGTGTTTTTGAGTACGAGTGTGACATGCAAAATGTACCATGATTATAGTCAAAGAACAAACAGTTTAATATTTTAAAAAATCACAGTTATTAGAGGAGGAGGAGAGAGAAAAGGGGGAGGGAAGAGAGGAAGAAGAGACGGCAGACAGGGGGAGGATGAAGGGTGGAATAATAGGAGGGAATACAACCGACTTTTTACTATGGACCGCTGAAACCTACGCTGTCCTACAGTGCCATCTGCTGGACGAACTCAGTAATGTTCTGTCAGCTTCTACTGCTCAGACCGATAGATTTGATGAATCCTCTGGAGTTCACTTTTGGGAAATTAAGGCTTCGTTTGTTCTGATTCTCATTAGAGCGAGTTTAAAACAAAAAGTTTAAAACAAAATATTAATAATACAACAATACGCATATTGGATTTGGCTAAAGGTTTTACACCGGATGCCCTTCCTGACCCTAGTGGCTGTTTTTTAATATATTTATTTATATTTATTAATAATACAATAAAATGTATTTATTTATATTTATTAATAATACAACAATAATATTAATACCACTATTATTTATTAGACCCCAAATAAATGCTTTCCGTTAAATAAATAACGACTAAATATTTTTAGGCAGAAAACGTGAATGCTACGAGGAGCGTCCTCTAGGGGGCGTTAAATATGTATTTCCATATACTACAACCAGTTATGACTTTATGACCATTATAGGTGTTTTAATTAATAAATTACACAAAAATATATTTCCCAAATC